AGGCCACACAGAATGAGCATTTCTTCTTTCCAAACCTTCCCGTTCATTCCCTTTCCATGGCCATGGCAGTCCTTTCTTTACCATCCACTCTTCAGTTTTTGAGGTAAGTGTCTTAGGGATAACAGAGTTTCCATCATTTTCATCATTGGATTCTCTGGAGGGTTTCAAAGAAGACTTCTCATCGTTACATAAGAACACACCAAAAGGAGACTGGATCAAATTCCCCCTAGGTGTGATAGCACCACTTGTTTCTGCATCTTCCCTCTGGTCAGAGTAAGCAGCATCGAAAAAACCCTGATCAGACTGATGACTGCCCCCATTTCCACCCTCAGGGTGTGAGGCGTTATTATCACCTGCTCGCATTTTCGACCTGACCTTGTTGCCCACCTTGGATGCCTGAAATTTGGACTACACTAGTCAAAAGATGAAACAACATAACAAAAGGTGAGAATTTATAACGTACAATTGGACTAACCAAATCTGATATCTTAGATGCTATAGCAACTTGAATAGGCTGCTGAGAATCAAGGCCAAGTTTCGATACAACAGCCTCTTTGGAGTCAAAACCAAGCCTAGATGCAACACCATTCGTCCCCCGGCTAAAGCTCGTTTCCCCTTCTTTCCCCCTTGTTTTAGCTAGAGGAACTCTCGGGCGTTGAAAGAGTGCCGAATCGTTCGTGATACATATAATCCCAATAAGAGAATCAGTATCATCATAAAAAGGAGAAATCGTTGTCACAACCGAAAATCTCTCTCCTGCTTTGTTCTTAACAGGAAACTCTCCAGTCCAACTCTCTCCACTGCTGCAACGCTGAAAGATATTCTGTGCAACAGCAGCATCCTGACCATCTACAAGTATATTAATCGAGTCCTTCCCTAACGCTTCTGCAGCTGAGAATCCATAAAGCTTCTCCGCCATCGAGTTCCTAAAACAACCATTCCAACAAATTTGAACTCTGTACATAACTTGGCTGACATATCAGATACCAGATCCTATACTACAAACGATACCAATCCTCTCTAATCAATCATTCCGAATCTGAACATATCAGGTATCTAGAGTCTACACTATACTCTAAATCTATCCACAAACTCACACATCTCCTTCCCATATGAATCCATTTCACAATCCTAGCATTTGACTACTCATTATCGATTCCGAAAAACGAAGAAACAATGGAGGATTCCACAAGAAAATCTACCTACTCACCAAAAGATAATTTGGCCATTTAGATCGAAGACATGAACAGCTTGAGCCATAGACTGCAAAATATTCAAATACTGTTTATCGGTGAACTTGCCTGCCGATGGTCCTTCACCACCACCAGCTCCCTCTTTCCGTAAAGGAGAAGCGTGACGGAACGATGCGGCGCCGCTTTTTCTCCAAAACGGAGTTCCGTCTCCATTGTTTCTCCTCGAAGGTCGTTTAGGTGAAGAAGAATGCGAACGCCTTTTAATCTCCGCCGATACTTTGAGTTTCGACATCTCTCGCTTTAGATCTTCTTGGCTTTCTTCTAGCTCTTTTATCTTCTTCAATAGCTTCTCTGCTGGTGGATTCTCCATTGTGATTGGTAGTGAATGGAGATCGGAATCTGAAGGTGATTGAGTTTGAAATCGGAAATTGTAGGAAGCTGAATCAACTGTGAAAGCTCGAAGGGAGATTAAGCAAATCGTGGAAGAATCTGAGAATTTTTGAAGAAAGGTTTTTGTGTAGAGTTTCTTTAAGGAGTCAAACAATTTAGGAAAACTTGTTTTGCTTATCTTTGCTTCTTTGATTCTTTTATTTCTGATTTTAGCGTTTTCATTTTGTTCTTACAATTTTTTTTTATTTTTTTTTCGTTTTTACTACTTTTGCTTATTTTTCTCTGTTCTATCAACTTGTTTTTTTTTTTAATCAACTTGTGTTCAATAACACCTGAGTGATACAAATTTATGGAATTGACCAAGTATAAAAATATAGATCTATGGAAAAAAACACAAGTGTTAGAGAACGGTTTGTTGTTTATTGATTGGTAGTAATTTTGAATCCTACTTGCAGAAATTTTATTTTATTATGAGTTTACTAGTGTACTAACCCGTGCGTTGCACGGCCTTTTAGAATATAGTAATCTTTTTAACAGTTGGAATTAAATATAAAAGAGATGAAATCAAAAAGTACATAATAAGATGTGGTATCTGCTATTAGCCTATTACGCAGCAAATTTGACAAATTGATTTTAACAATGATAAGATCGAACAGACCAAGAACAATACCCTTAACACTGCTAATTGCAAACGACACGGAATAATACAATGATTGATAAAATCCTAGTTTTCTTCAAATCCGATTCTCGTCCTTCAATTCCGGCGTCGACGACCTCATGCTCTTTGTCTCCGAGAGAGTTGAATCATGAGAGCGAGCTGGTCAAAGGTTAAGTATTCATCAATAGCTTTCTCAATGCGACTTCTTGCTCTTTTTGTAAACCTCAGGGCAGTAACTTTCATAGCTGGAATCTTGTGTACCCTCAATTCCAACCAATATCAGAAAATGAAGCACATTTAAAATATGATCTAGATAACAAAATTTAAACCGAACATTGAACACATCTATGTTGCAGACTAAGTTCGGATTATCAGTGACCACTTTTGTTTCACAAATTGGAAAATGGTTCTAAAGAAATGAAACAGATTAATCAAGATCTAAGACTGATTTCAGCATAAAGATACAAAAGAGAGAGAGAGAGAGGGATCAACGAAATGGAACCATGCCAGCCATAAATTCCACAAGCCTATATAGAGAAAGAGGAGCTTTGTTGATTTTCTCATAAAATGCCTATTCAATATCACAACATTGAACTTGCAGTGAGTTCTCCTTACCAGAAAACGGTAAAACTGCAAATTATAAAAACAAATCTTATATTAAGTAAGATTCACCCAATTAAAAACCTATTCAAATTAAGGGAAAAAACAAAGGATAGAGATCGTTGCTGAATTTGTAACCTTGACATTAAGCTTAGGGTAGACATCATCTGACTTTGGAGCTGTCCTCTTGGTCTTCTTGTTCTTGCCTCAAGCTATCAGATCAATACCCTGCAAACACGAGCATTCAATCTCAAAATCAACCTTGGAAGCAAGGTTCAACCTTAAAGAAAACTAAGAGAAATGAATCATTCACACTCTAATCCGAGGCTTAAATGTCACAAGAAAAGACCAAACCACATTCCAAATCTACTTTACAACTACACAAATGACAGGAACCATCCAAAATCCCTTGTAACTACAATATCAAACTAAAAAACAGGAAAAACTTGTAGATGACATGAAGATTGGAAGACAGAGGAAGCGAGAAGCACCATTGTGGTCCAATGTTGTAACCGCTAACCTGTAAATTGAAAGATTTTTTAATAGAGAACACTTGAATAACAAACTAAATCATTGTGCAAAATTATGATGAACCTCATAAAGAACAATTTGTCAACAGACTAAATAAAATTTGAAGTTATGAATCCATTCGTTTGATATAATTCAAGTTCTTTCTCAAACTTATTCCAGTTGTTAAAATATAAACTGAGAATTCGTTGAGACATGTGATCGAATGATTAAACAATGATGAATAAAAAAACCAGAATTGGGAAATCAGAAATCAGAGTTTGTAAAAGAGGATTTTTTTTTTCTGTCGTGTATTTTTTTCTTTAATGAGAAAAGTAAAGTTTAATTGTTTTAAAAAGTGAAAGTTGAAAATTTGGGACTTAATCCACGTGTCAAATAGATAGAGTTGCAGTTAATAGTAAAGTGACTTGTGAATTATTAGATAAGGATGACACATAATTTAATAAAAAGACACACATTAAACAAATTGTTTATTCATAAGTTTTTTTTTTTTTTTTCTAGGAGGGGGTTGGGCCTAAACCTTAAACCTTAATCTTTCCCATGGCGTAAAGCATTCCTCCCACCGAAATCGAACTAGAAAGCACATGTGTCCAACCCCTGTACTTAAACCACTAGCCGAACGCACCATTGGTTACTCCTAAGTCTTAACCATCAGAGAAAAAAAAAAAAAAAAGTCTTAACCATCAAAGCAAACGAAGTATTGCTCAAATAACATAGAAGAGGGAGCAACTGCCGGCTATTGGGTGGGTCGATGAGGGAACATGTGCGGTTGTCGCTCCTCGACTTCTCCGATCATTTTGCCAGAATTTCTCCTCCTTCGGATAGGTTTTGTTAGTCCAGCAAACCTATGTTAAACCATTTGGTATTGGGCCTTTTGGGCTTTTAATTTTTCTTTTTTGGGTTGTATCATTTTTAGAAAGAAAAAAAAATCAATAAATAAAACCAACAAATTGAACCATAAAGAACATAATAAAGAATTTTCATTATACCATAGTCATGGGGCTATAATATACATGTGTAATTTAATCTAACCTTACAAAAGTGTCAGATACGCATTTTTCTAGGTCTCAAACTTGGTGGGTACTTCTTTTCAGAACTTTATGCAAACAATTACATAGTACTTTTCAAGACTTTTTCCCTAATATGAATACTTAGCTTATAAAACTGTTGACATCAGAAGAGTATATTATATACAGATTGTGAAAGTTTAAGATTAATTAGAGATAGTATTTGTGTATATTTTACAGTGGAAGCCACGTGGTTGTTGAAGAGAGAAGAAAGAGTACATAAGTGATTCTGAGCTTTTTCAACTTATAAAAAAAAAAAAAAGACACGACAAAAGCTGGAAGTGGGGGACTGAGTCACACAACGCGTGGTGTAGAGAGAATGATAATACTTCATCAATCAAGCCAAGCAACGGAACTTACGTTGAAACTTTCTTCATTGACCTAATTACCCTTTTCTCTCTTGTTAGTTAGTTCCTCAAGACAACAAAATCCATTCATCATCACCCACCTCTCTCACAAACTTCATACACACAAACAAAACACAATCACATAAAAAAAAAACTCTGTTTTTTTGCTCTGTTTATTCTTTAATTCTTTCAAAAATCTCCCCTTTTTGGGGTGTTTATTGTATCTCTTGTTGAACCAACCTCTAAAGATTCTGTTTTTTTTTGTGGTAAAGTTTGGTTCTTTATATCTCAAATCGAGTTCTTGTTCGAAGAAAGATGTGGTGGATGATGGGAGAAAACGGTGGTCACTACTGTTCTAAAAAGTCCGATGATTTATGTGGAACTCAGGTTTGTGATTTTGTCCTTCTTGAAAAAAAAAACAAGATCTTTAGTCAATGCTCAAAGAACCCTTTTGGATTCTACTCTCGATCTAAATTATAGATCTTGTGGAATCTTGAATTAGATTGATCTCTCTGTACTTGCTTAGATTAGTCAATATCTCTTGTTTGGTTTTTTAGTCAGCGATGATTGGATTCAAGAATTGACATTTTTTTCTCTTTGGTTTGGAATCAGGAATCAGATCGAGGCTTTGGTATTTCAAGACTCTGTTGTATCTTGCGTGGTGTTGATTTAAAATCGATTCTGTTTCTCTTAGTAATCGTACCAATGTGTGTTCTTGGTGTATACATTAACGCTCTCAAGATTTCATATTTCTTGAGACCTTTATGGGAATCACCACCAAAACCATTCCATGAGATACCGCATTATCACCACGAGAACGCTTCTATGGAATCTCTTTGTAAACTCCATGGTTGGGGAATTCGTGAGTACCCTCGTCGTGTCTATGACGCTGTTTTGTTCAGTACTGAAGTTGAACTTCTCACGATACGGTGGAAAGAACTGTATCCATATGTTACTCAGTTTGTTCTGCTTGAGTCTAACTCGACTTTCACCGGATTACCAAAACCGCTTGTTTTCGCGGGGCATAGGGATGAGTTTAAGTTTATTGAGCCACGGCTGACTTACGGGTCGATTGGAGGAAGGTTTAAGAAAGGAGAGAAGAATCCGTTTTACGAGGAGGCCTATCAGAGAATCGCATTGGATCAGCTTTTACGAATTGCGGGTATTACCGATGATGACTTGCTTATTATGTCTGATGTTGATGAGATCCCGAGCAGACATACGATAAATCTTCTCCGTTGGTGTGATGACATACCGAAAATCCTTCATCTTAGACTGAAGAATTACTTGTACTCGTTTGAGTTCCCGGTCGATGATAAGAGTTGGAGAGCATCAGTTCATAGGTACCAGACTGGTAAAACGAGGTATGCGCATTATAGGCAGTCTGATGTGATCTTGGCGGATTCAGGGTGGCATTGCAGCTTCTGTTTCAGACGGATAAGCGAGTTTGTGTTCAAAATGAAAGCTTATAGTCATTACGATAGAGTGAGATTCGGGCATTACTTGAACCCGAAAAGGGTTCAAAGAGTTATATGCAACGGAGCGGATCTCTTCGATATGATTCCCGAGGAATACACGTTTAAAGACATTATCGGTAAAATGGGTCCGATCCCGCATTCTTATTCCGCGGTTCATCTTCCCGCATACCTACTGGAGAATGCAGAGAAGTACAAGTTTCTTCTTCCGGGGAACTGCTTGAGAGATGAGGAATGAATTGGTTATTGTAACTAATATGATATGGAACACTACTACTAACTCATGATTATTAATTCTTTGGTGAATTATTTTTTGAAAGAGTTCATGGCGATTTTATTGGTTACTTTCGTGTACATATACAATTTAATTTATATTTTTATCTCTTTGGGAATTTTTTAAGGCAAGTTTTGTTTTTTCGGCACAAATCGAAGATGGTGTGGCATATGCTTGCACGACTAGCAAGCCAATGAACAAAATACGCCAATGTATTTTCTATTGATGAAACTATACAAAAATGAACATTAAGTACCAGACCGGTCAGTGTCACATGGCTATGTTATTGGAAAGAGTATGCGGAAAATAAATTAAAGTATAAGAGAAGATGATAGAAATATTTAACGAAAGTATTGCTTGGTTCTTTATTGGAAAAAAAAAGAGAGTATCGATTGATTTTATCAAAACCGACTTTTAGTGTTTGGCTGCAAATGATTGATACCTTTCAGAAACATGTATACATGCATGTTTTGTTTTTGTCGACGAAAAATGAAAAAAAAAAACAATAATGAACTCAATAATAATCCCTTAAATTGGTAAAATATGGATTTCACCCCCTCCTCCCACCTCCCGCCTCTTTATAGCTAGTGCCAAATTGTTGGGACAAAATTGATATGTAAGTTCGTCTATGGCTGGGAATTAAGTTTCCTCTGAGTAATAAATAAACATGTGCAAACCTAGGAACACCAATGTAATTTGTTCTTATAGGTGGTCAAGTCAGTATTTAAACCACAAGAGTCGGTCAATTTATGCCAGTTCTAAGAAGAGAGATGTGCCATGTATTCAGTTATATCTAAGTTTTCTCCAGTGGAAAAGAGAAAGAAATGAGGATGTTTCCGTTGTTCAGCTAAGAGAAGACATTTCATCAAAGAGTGGAAAAGAATGGATATTCTCAAACGGATAAAAAGGTTAAGTTTTTTGGGGAATACTTTGCATGCATTTAGTAAGACCTTGGGATGTTAAGCGTTGTTGTGTTTCGTTGGATTTTGCTCTGTGCTAGCCGACCTCGGGGAAAGAGCTTGGTAGAGTGAGCTTGCGCTTCTCGTTTCCTTAGGTTCGCGTGGTTCCGCCTTGAGAAAGCTCATGGTTAGTTCAAAGAGTAGCTCGCACGTGACGCGGGTGGAGTCGGTGTTTGTTTTGCTCTTTGTTTCAACGCCGTTGACGGCTCAGGTTCTTGGGCCACCAGTGAAAGGCTTCCTTTCGTTTTAGTTATCTTTGATTCGATCTTCGCCGTTTGACAACATGATGTTTCTCCCTTGAGGTGTCATAATTTAGAATACTTTAGGATCGTTTTATCGCTTCATTGATTCCGAAAGCGTCACTGCTTTTGTTGATGTCAATGGACTGATTGATTTTGCTTCCATGTTTTTTATCCTTTTTTGCCATGGGACCAAACTATAGGATCTACTTCATGTAACTCCTAAAATTTTTCATTTTATGAAATATTAACATTCTTAGCAAAAAAAAGGTCAAGAGTCATGTTGCATGGGTCCGATGCATTTGAGCGTTGCCACATACTTTCCCATTTGTGTTTGGTTGGTCGACAAGTGAATCATGAGGTGCATGGTGATGAAGAGTTTGGAGAGTCTATGGTTTTTATTCTTATGTGGCGAGTTACTTGAATTGAATTTATATGTTCAAGATACATGCAAAGGAAATAACATTAATTAATTAACCTAAATAGAGATTTCAAACATAAATAACTCTTAATTCGTGAGTACCTTGCCCCCTTATAAGTATCCATGTCTCGAGTCATGATGAATGGACTTGATGAAGCAAGGGACTATGCAATCGTCAATGCCCGCGAAATTTTGACGTCTTGAGTCCATCAGACCATTCATAAGAAAGTGTTCATCTTACCACGTATGATGTCCACGTTACCTAGAGTTCGTGGAGCACAAGTAGAAGCAGCCGTACACATAGGATTATGCCTAAAAACCTTTAGAACTAGTCCAAAGGTCAAAAACTAAAAAAACAAGTTTTTGACGCTACATGGTTTAATTTACATAAACTCAATTACACATAAAATTAAGTGATACACTCAAAAATGAATAACAGTTTTACCCCAAACAGATTTTGTTGGTGTAAGTTTGAAAGAAGTCTTAAAAGATTAAAGGCTTGAGGCCCAAGTTATTATGAAACAAGTCGGTTTCATAAGATGATTCTAGAGAGTAGTCTAGACCTAATCCTAATGTGTTCAAAGTCGGTTTAATAGTCTCTATATATAGAGGTACCAAGGTGTGGTAACCCTAAGAGTTTTTAGAGAGTTTGAGATTGTGTATGCTTAGGGTTTTTGAGTTAGTTTTCCTTGAGCAATAAAGAAAAGGTGTTCTTTAGGTTACATAATCTTGTTCTTATACCTTTGTGTTTGATTCAATAATTGGTATCAGAGCACAACTATTGAATCATACCACTTAGATATACAATACGAAACAGAGTTACAAACGTGTGTGTGGGATACAAGAAAAGGTGTTCTTGTACAAAACCTAAAACATGGGAGAGATAGTCCCTGTGAAATCTAAAGAGATCGGCTCTTCATCTATACGATGTCCGATGCTCACTACCACGAATTATACAGTGTGGACTATGAGGATGAAACCGATGCTTAGAGTAAACAAAGCATGGGAAGCCATCGAACCCGGATCAACAGATGGAGATCTGAATGACTTAGCAAAAGCCCTTCTCTTCCAGTCAATACCAGAATCACTAATTCTGCAGGTTGGAGAATACGAAACTGCAAAAGAAGTTTGGGATGCTATCAAAACAAGAAACTTAGGTGCAGATAGAGTTAAAGAAGCTCGACTTCAAACCCTAATGTCTGATTTTGACCGTCTTAAGATGAAAGAAACAGAGAGTATTGATGAGTTTGCAGGGAAACTCTCAGAAATAGCCACCAAAGCTGCAGCCCTAGGAGAGAAAATTAATGAAACAAAACTGGTCAAGAAATTTCTTGGATCTGTACCAAGAAAGAAATACATTCATATTGTAGCCTCACTTGAACAAGTTCTTGATCTCAAGAAAACAGGCTTTGAAGATATAGTAGGGAGACTAAAAACATATGAAGAAAGAGTTCTTGATGAAGAAGAAGAACCAATAGCCGATCAGGGAAAACTTATGTATGCAAATCATGAGTCACAGTCATACCAAGGCAGCTATGGTGGTGGCAGAGGCAGAGGAGGACGATATTCTCAAGGAGGAAGAGGACGAGGTAGGTTTAATAACCAACAAAACGGGAGGCAAGAAAGGGACAGATCTAAAGTAGTTTGCTATAGATGTGACAAGTTGGGTCACTTTGCTTCTAATTGCCCGGATAGATTGCTTAAGCTTCAGGAAGCACAAGAAAACAGAGATGATGAAACACATGAGGCAGAAGAGTTGATGGTACATGAGGTAGTCTACTTAAATGAAAAGAATGTCAGGCCAAGTAACTTTGAAACTCAAGAAGATGGAAAGAATGTTTGGTATTTGGACAATGGTGCAAGCAACCATATGTCAGGAAACAAAGAATTCTTCTCTAAACTGGATGAAACAGTCACTGGAAAGGTGAGATTCAGAGATGACTCAAAGATAGACATAAAGGGAAAAGGATCAGTCTGGTTTGTTAGCAAGAACAATGACAAGAAAATACTTGCAGATGTGTACTTTATACCAGATTTAAAAAGCAATATCATCAGTTTGGGTCAAGCAACTGAATCAGGATGTGATGTTAGGATGAAAGAAGATTTTCTTACTGTTCATGACAAAGAAGGAAAGCTTCTGGTAAAAGCTAAAAGATCAAAGAACAGACTCTACAAAGTCTTCATGGAATCTGAGTCTGAAAGATGCCTGCAAATAAAAGAACTGAGTGAGTCAGCTAAGTGGCATGCAAGATTAGGACATATCGGATTAGAAACAATGAAAACAATGATAAAGAAAGAACTGGTTACAGGCTTGCCAATCATTCAAACAGAAAAGGAGACCTGTGTCTCATGTCTACTTGGGAAACAATCAAGAAAAGCATTTCCCCAGGCAACTTCATACAGAGCAGGAACAAAGTTAGAACTTGTGCATGGAGATCTTTGTGGACCCATCACACCATCAACCTTGGCCCGGAATAGATATGTTTTCGTTTTGATTGATGATCATTCAAGATATATGTGGTCTATAATCTTAAAAGAGAAAAGTGAAGCATTTGAGAAGTTTAAAAAGTTCAGAAGATTAGTTGAGCAAGAAACTGGTACTACTATCAAAACATTCAGAACAGATAGGGGTGGAGAATTTACATCTCAAGAATTTCAGACCTACTGCGAGAATGCTGGGATACAGAGACATCTTACTGCACCATACACCCCACAGCAGAATGGAGTGGTAGAGAGACGTAATCGAACTCTCTTAGAAATGACAAGAAGTATCCTTAAGCACATGAATATGCCAAACTACTTATGGGGAGAGGCAGTGAGACACGCCACATACTTGATAAATCGGGTTGGAACCAGAACATTGATTGCAAAGACACCATATGAAGCTTTCAAGGGAAGAAAACCTAATGTAGAACACCTACGTGTATTTGGCTGCACAGGATATGCAAAAACAGAAGCTCAACACCTAAGAAAACTTGATGATCGTTCAAAACCATTAGTGCACTTGGGTACGGAACCAGGCACAAAAGCTTATAGGATGCTGGATCCAACTACTCGAAGAATAACAGTAAGCAGGGATGTCATTTTTGACGAAACAAAAGGTTGGAAATGGAGCCATCTGGGAAAAGATACAGGAAAGGAAATTGGAACATTTAAACTGAGTGTGAATGTTGGAGCTTTTGGAAATAATGGTCTTAGAGAAGCTCAAAATATTCAAAACCAAACCATAAATGAAACTAATGAAGTTGAAACTGGTGATAAAGAGGACAGTGAAACAGAGGAAACAGGGGAAAGAGATGAGTCTGGTGAAGAAGAAACAGAGGACATTGAGACCCATGAACAGAATCAGGATGGGCAAATACAACCACTTACCAGAAGAACTTCACAAAGACAAGTTACAAGACCAAAGTACCTAAACGATTATGTACTATTGGCTGAGTTTGAAAGTGAACGCCTCTTATTGGCTTTGGACGAAGAGCCATGGGATTATGAGGAAGCAAAGGAAATGGTAGAATGGAGAGAAGCCTGTAAGGATGAAATCTCATCAATTACTAAAAATAACACATGGAACTTAGTTGATCTTCCCAGTGGAGCTAAACCTATAGGACTGAAGTGGGTGTTTAAAATCAAGAGAAATTCAGATGGTTCTATAAACAAATATAAAGCAAGATTAGTTGCTAAAGGATATGTTCAGAAACATGGGATTGACTTTGATGAAGTGTTTGCTCCAGTAGCAAGGATTGAGACCATTAGGTTCATAATTGCTTTAGCAGCATCAAACGGCTGGGAAGTACATCATCTAGACGTAAAAACAGCATTCTTGCATGGAGAGCTAAAAGAGACTGTGTTTGTCTCACAACCTGAAGGGTTTATAGAAGAAGAAAAGAAGGATAAGGTGTATAAACTTAACAAAGCACTCTATGGGCTTAGACAAGCACCAAGAGCGTGGAATAATAAACTAAACCAGATCCTTCAAGGACTAGGCTTCATAAAATGCTCCAAAGAACCCTCCTTATACCGAAAGAAGAAAGATGAATGTCTCCTAGTTGTGGCAGTATATGTTGATGACTTACTAGTTACAGGCTCTAACTCTGAACAAATTCATGAATTCAAGAAAGGAATGTCTGCAACGTTTGAGATGAGTGATTTAGGCCTGTTAACCTATTACCTTGGTATAGAAGTATTTCAGCATGAAAGGGGCATCACCATGAAACAAGGAAGGTATGCAGAGAAAATACTAGAAGAAGTAAAAATGAGTGAATGTAATGCAGTTCACATACCAATGAACGCTGGCTTGAAGTTGTCAAAAGCAGAGGAAGAAAAGAGTGTGGATGAGAAAGAATTTAGAAGAATCATTGGATGTCTCAGATATTTACTTCATACACGACCTGATCTTTCCTTCAGTGTTGGTGTATTAAGCAGATATCTACAAGATCCCAAAGAATCCCATAGAGTTGCCTTGAAACAAGTACTTAGGTACTTAAAGGGCACTCTGAACTATGGTCTCTCATTTACTCGGGGAACTCAACAAGGCCTGGTAGGGTATAGTGACAGCAGTCATAATGTCGATGAGGATGATGGTAAAAGCACGACAGGACACATATTCTACCTTGGAGATTGCCCAATTACTTGGTGTACTAAGAAACAAGACACAGTGGCGTTATCGTCTTGTGAGGCCGAGTTTATGGCCGCTACTGAGGCTGCCAAACAAGCCATTTGGCTTCAAGATCTCTTGGAAGAAGTAACCGGAGAAAGGAGTGAGAAAGTAATACTCAAAATTGATAATAAGTCCGCAATTGCTCTGGCCAAGAACCCGGTTTTCCACGGAAGAAGTAAGCACATACACAAGAGGTATCATTTTATACGTGAATGTGTAGAAAATGAGTTAGTTGATGTAGAACATGTGCCGGGAGAAGAACAAAAGGCTGATATCTTAACCAAGGCTCTTGGACGGATCAAATACAAGGAGATGAGAGAGCTTGTAGGGATTCAAGATGTGACAAAAGGTGATTTCAAACTTAAGGGAGTGAATGTTGGTGTAAGTTTGAAAGAAGTCTTAAAAGATTAAAGGCTTGAGGCCCAAGTTATTATGAAACAAGTCGGTTTCATAAGATGATTCTAGAGAGTAGTCTAGACCTAATCCTAATGTGTTCAAAGTCGGTTTAATAGTCTCTATATATAGAGGTACCAAGGTGTGGTAACCCTAAGAGTTTTTAGAGAGTTTGAGATTGTGTATGCTTAGGGTTTTTGAGTTAGTTTTCCTTGAGCAATAAAGAAAAGGTGTTCTTTAGGTTACATAATCTTGTTCTTATACCTTTGTGTTTGATTCAATAGATTTGGTATCAAAACATAATAAAACCAAAATCAAAACCGTACTAGCTAGAACTAAACTAGATTATATAATATGCCTCCATCGATATTTAGTAATTAAGAATTCAAATTTTCCACGTGAATTGGACTAATCATTAATTAAGAAGAACGGAATCAGAATAAATATGTCTACTCAACTTTCGGTATGGTGGTGGTAGAAAAGAGAATAAGATTCAAATCCCATTACGAATAATTGCCATATGGTATCATACTGCAGTACAAAAATTGTATATATATAAACACCTGAAAGATTTTGATTACTTATCCCTATCAAAGAAAACTAACACAAGTATATATTTAAAGAAAAATGCTTGATAAGCTTACCAGAAGGATCGGAGGGTTCGGGCGCGGACACGGGCATTTCCAGGCAAGCGGCGGCTTCGGGTTCGAGGAGCACAAGGAGTTTGTGACTCATATGAGGCTTCCGGCCAACCATGGCCGTCCTCCCATGGCTCACATGCCTGTCTGCGATGAAGAAGACTCAGACTCAGATGTGGAGGAGTTCTTTGAGAGAAGCCGGACCCACCACACTACTGCGTTGCCGCAACCACTTCATCTGAACTTCAGGCCTCCACCTCCAATGACTCAGCCTCACCACAATGTCGTAGGTTATCTCTTTTGGTGTTTCGACCTTACTAATCATGTTATGGTCTGTTATATATTTAGATATATTCTATGTAAGAGCATCTTCATTGTCTCAGGAGAGTTTCTTAAAACTGAAATATATATTAATGATTAGTTTTTTAAAAATATTGGACCACATGAAATATAACATGTAAGCTGAAGAGTCTCTCATTAGCCGCATACTAGTATTGTTTCTCGAACAGAGAAGTTGTTTTCTTTTTTTTTCTTTTTTTTTCTTTTTTTTTTCGAACAGAGAAGTTGTTTTCTCTTTCATTATTTTTCTTTATTTTCTAATATTTTGATCTTTAGATATAACTTTAGAGACCACTAATGGAGGTGGCCTAAGGTATTTCCTTTTAAAAAACTTGAAGTCCTGAAAATTGGTGCTAAAATTTTGCCAAATAAAACAATTGATTCTGATTTGTATACACATCAAAAAACAAAATTATATAAATAGATTAAAGAGGTGGTGATAAAAGGGAGTTGGTTTTTGTGCCCTAAGTTTATGGATTTATATATGAGCCAAGTCCGGAACTCCTACCGTTTTAAAAGTAATGTGTAATACACCGTTAGTCAGACTTTGTCTAGAGTATAGGCAGAGGAAACCATAGCTTCGAGCGTCAGTCCACTTGGGTTTTGAAGCTAAGTTTTAGGAAATTTTTTGTGCTTTTTGTTATATATTAACAAAAAACTATAGTACAAAAGAAACACCAATTTTATAGAACCTTCTGAGACGTTCCTTGCCAATTGTCATCCTAAGTTTAATATATATGTTTTCAATTTGCTTGATGATCATTTTGCAGGGGAAGATGGGTATTGGATTGCAGGGGCAGCATGAAGATGCATTCCATGGAGGGCACGGGATGAAGCACCACGGTGGACACGGGATGCAACACCATGACATACATGGGATGCAGCACCACGGCGGGCATGGAATGCAGCACCAAGGGGAGCACGGGATGCAGCACCAGGGCGGGCACGGAATGAAACACCAGGGCGGACACGGAATGCAGCACCAAGGGGAGCACGGAATGCAGCACCAGAGCGGGCACGGAATGCAGCACCATGGGGAGCACGGAATGCAGCACCATGGGGAGCACGGAATGCAGCACCAGGGCGGGCACGGGATGAAGCACCACGGTGGGCACGGGATGCAGCACCAAACGGAGCACGGAATGCAGCACCACGGCGGGCACGAGATGAAGCACCAGGGTGGGCACGGACTGCAGCACCAGGGCGGGCACGGAATGCAGCACCACAACATGCATGGGATGCAGCACCAGGGCGGAGTAGTGGTGAAGACTACTGAAAATTGGCGGGTCAGCAAAAGCGGCGGCAACAAACTCGGGTGGGGGAGTAAGGGACTCTAGACTCCACCTAAATACTCTGCCGGATCAAGTAAGAAAGAAATGATTATGTATCTCAAGTAATACACTTATAAGATGTATGTGTGTGATGGACATGTTTCTGTATCGCATCAAACTAAATAAGGGACTTTAAACCTCTAAAAGGTGCTTATGTTTGATGACATTATAATTACTAAGGAGTGTTGTTGTTGCTGCTTATGTTTAATAAAAGTGATGTATATTATCAGTTGATTACCCCTCGTGGAAGGAGTGATTATACTTCACAAAATTAAAAGTAACATTGTGTCGTAACAAAGACCCTAGTGAATTTATAAGTTAAGTAGTGCAGTAAGATATGTCGTTCATGTGTCACTGGTACGATATTAGCAACAAACGACATGTATATAGTATATATTGTTTTTTAACAGCAACAACTACAAAATCATGTTCGTTTCAATGTTTCTGAATTCATTAAACAATTAGACAAATGTTTTTTTGCAATTATAGACCAAAAATTCAGAACGGTACAGAAATTAATAGTTTACAACTTTTATTAATCGTTGAATTGTGTGGGTGAAATCTAAGCTGCATGGAATCGGAAGCGGGTACGTGGAAGCGGAAGCGTTTGGAAGCGTAGAAGCGAGTTTTTGAAAAAAATTAGGAAGCGGGTACGTGTTGGAAGCGTGTATATATATAAGTATATATGAATATATATATATATATATATATAAGTATATATGAATATATATATATATATATATATATATATATATATATATATATATATATATATATATATATATATATAATAGATTGTTGATATTTTAGTTGAATTGGTCTAAAAATTAAAAGATTTAAGTATATAAATTACAAATCACAATCACAATTAAAACATAATAAGAAAAGCAAATTTTATAATTTTAGTGGTTTGATTTTTTTTCTTATTTTGGTATTTTTTTTATATTAATATGTAAATTGAATGATTAAACATTATTGAACCAACGTTAACTTGAAAAAAAATGCAAACAATTGGGCCTTAGTGTGTAAACAGAATTGGGCTCAGGGAAAAAAAGTAAAAAACATAAAGAAACACTAAAACGCACGTGGAGAGAGATATTCATCTTCTTCATTTAGATCTGGTTTTGTAAAAACCATCGGAAGAAAAAAATCCACCCGATTCCATTTATAAACACTTTCACGCTTCCAACTCAGAATCGACGCTTCTAAAACGATTCTAATCGCCACTTTTTGAGAATCGCGATTTCCTTGCGATTCCTAACGCTTCCGGACGCTCCCGTTTCCGATTCCGATTCCGGTGCGGGAATCGGAGCTCCACCGACGCTTCCGTGCTATGTAGGGTGAAATCGTGACCATAGAACGAAGATGAATTCATTTTGTTGATATTTCTGAAATCGTTTTCTTATATCCCTATAACGAAATATCAAAGAAAAAGAAAATATACAATTTTCTTCTACATTTATCAATTGATATTGAAAAATTTGAATAAACCACAAAATCTTAATATCTTATGTGCACAGGAGTTTCAAAACTCTGGAACCTAAATTCTCTACTCTTAATTCAAATTATATAACATATTGCTTCACGAACTCTAGGTAACGTGGACATGCTACGTGGTAAGAAGAACACTTTCTTATGAATGGTCTGATGGACTCAAGACGTCAAAATTCACCGGCATTGACGCTTGCCTAGTCCCTTCATCAAGTCCGTTCATCAGGACACAAGACATGGGTAAGGGGCAAGGTACTCACGACTTGGATCGACAAGGCCTCCATAGCAAATCCCTACTACGCGGAGTAACACGACTTAATGGAATCGAACTCCGGTGGGGAAGGCGGAGTTATTTATGTTTAAAATCTCTATTTACGCTAATATTATCGACTCAAAAAAAAAAGATTATATATTATGCCTCCATCAATATATTCAGTCAATTAAGAATTCAAAATTTCCACGTTGAATTGGACTAATCATTAATTAAGAACAACGGAATCAGAATAAATATGTCTACTCAACTTTCGGTTTGGTAGTCGTTGAAAAGAGAATAAGATTCAAATCATATTACGAATAATTGCCAAATGGGATCATATCCAACACCAATTTAAATGAACACTAGAAGACTAATACAGTAAAGGAACTGTATATATAAATATAGAAGCACCTAAAAGATTTTAATCACTTATCCATATCAAAGAAAGCTAACACAAGTATATATTTAAATAAAAATGCTTGATAAGCTTACTAGAGGGATAGGAGGGTTCGGGCGCGGATACGGCCATTACCGGAGAAGTGGCGGCTATGGGTTCGAGGAACACAAGGAGTTTGTGACTCATGTGGAGTCAGAAGGAGGCTACTTTGACCGTCAAGCCCGCTATGACCACCGCATGAGGCTTCCGGCCAATCATGGCCGTCCACCCATGGCTCACATGCCTGTCTACGATGAAGAAGACTCAGACTCAGATGTGGAGGAGTTCTTTGAGAGCAGCCGGAGCCACTACACTACTGCGACATTGCCTCATCACAGCAGCAACCAGCACCAACAACCACTTCATCTCAACTACAGGCCCCCACTACCAGCAACCACCAACAACAACTACCAGACCCAGCTTCACCACAACGTAAGTTATCTCTTTTGGTGTCTTATAAGGTATAGATATAAGTATCTTAAACTGTTTTGAAGTTCTGAAACAATTGATGCTAAAGTTTTGCTAAATAAAACAGTTGATTCTGATTTATATACACATAAAAAAAACCAAATTATATACACAGACGAAAGAGGTGGTAGTGACCTAGAGGTAAAATGCAGGTTGGTTCTCTTGTGCCTCAAATCCAAACCCTCTTAGATACGAAGGATTTTTTTTTTTTTTTAATAATCAGAATATTTAAAGGCTGATTCTTTGGGAGATATTATAGGTCAAATGTCTGGAACTCATTAAAAAATATTATATAAACAGTTTTAGTATCAAAGTCATGTGTAAATACACCAATAGTGACTTTTTTTAAAGCATAGGCAGATGAAGCCATAGCTTTCACCTTCAGACCACAGGGTTTTGAAGCTAATTTTTAGGAAAAAAGGTAGTGCTTTTTCTATATTAACAAAAAATCATAGTATAAAAAGAAGCACCAATATTTGATATTATATAGAACCTTTTGAGACGTTCCTTGCCAATTGTCATCATATTAGTTTATATTGTTTAATTTGCTTAATGATCATTTTGCAGGGAACGATGGGAAAGATAGGTAATGGATGGCAGGGGCAGCATGAAGATGCATACCATGGCGGGCACGGGACGCAGCACCACGACATGCATGGGATGCAGCACCAAGGCGGGCATGGGATTCAGGACTACAACGGCCAATGGATGAAGCAACAAGACATGCTAATGGCTCCCCAAGTTCCACCACGTCATGTATACATGAACCCAAACCACCGCAGCGGTTACAGCCATGCAGTAGTGGTGAAAGCTACTGAGAATTGGCAGGTCAGCAAAAGCAGCGGGCGCCGCAAACTCGGGTGGGGGAGTAAGGGACTCTAGACTCCACCGGATACTCTGCCGGTTCATGTAAGAAAGTAATGATTATGTATCCCAAGTAATAAATGTATAAGATGTATGTGTGTGATAGATATATGGTCATGTTTCTGTATCGTACCAAAACTAAATAGGGGACTTTTAACCCAAAAGAAGTGCTTTCGTATGATGACCTTATGATTACTAAAGAGTGTTTTTGTTGTTGCTTATGTTTGATAAAAGTGATGTATATTATCAGTTGATTTTCCCACCTGAAAAGATTGATAGCAGAAAATGAAGTTTAAAAGTAACGTTGTGGTGTTACAAAAACCCTTGTAAATTTATAACGTAAGTGGTATATTATAAGTTAACTTTATGTGTCACTGGTATCAGCAACAAACGACATGTATAGGGTATATTATTTGTTAACAGCAACAACTACAACATCATGTTCGTTTTAATGTTTCTGGTTTATCGAAACAATAAGACAAATGCAACGTTGGTTTGCTTCTCGCTGCTAATCAACTCCTATCCAAAACTCTGTTTTTTCAAATATTTCTGGTTTTGTTTATAATCACTCTCAATCAAAGCTGATGTAAAACGTTTATTTTTCTTTTTGAATATAATTTAACATTTTATTCAAAAAAAAAAAAGAAACAATAAGACAAATGGCTTTTGCAATTATAGACCAAAAATTCAAACGGTAAGGAAATTAATATAGTTTCTAACAACTTTTATCGTTGAACAAAAACAAAAAAAAAAACTTTTATCAAACGTTGAGTTGTGTCAACTTGTGTAGGTAAATGACGATAAAACGAAGATGAATTCATCATCCGATTCTGTTTATATCTTTGAAATCGTCTTCTTAAAAAATATATATATCTACTGATACAGGAAAAATTGAATAAACCTAAAAATCTAAATATCTTATGTGTACAAGAATTTGATAACTCGTTCAAACTAAATTCTTTATATTCTTAACTAAAATATATAGAAAACATATTAATATCATAATCATATAGATATCTCTAGTAAAAAAAATTGTCATTTCATAATGATTAAACTCAGATTTGTATACAAAGATATATGATTCCTCCGGCATATATGATTTCATTGCTTCATTTTTCAGATGATCAGAGAAATCAATAACATTATATGTCTTCTTTTACCTCAAAAAATCTGTTTTAAAATGAACTTTACATTGTCAATAATTTTTTTAATACTTTTTAATATCCTGGGTCTTTATTATAGACCAAGTCTAGACTAACTCCTGAGTCCAATAAAAATTGTATGAGTTTTATTGCTATTGAAGGGGTTAACGGATGGCTAAGCAAGATAGTTACTATAATTTCACGTTTGAGGCGATTTTTTTTTCTGGTTTAGACCAACAAAACCATAACTCCACTACCACTTGGTTAAGAGAGACACTCTAAACTTTGCAAGCATTAGATGCAATTTCCATCATAACGATTGAAGAGACCATTCCACAACGGAGATGGACCTTACATTGATCTTATCCACACATATTTTCATATGTTCTTTACAGATGTTGCAGTCAAAACACGCCATTTAATCAATTATTAAAAGCATCTAGTTCGATTGAATAACCAACAGTATAGTTCTCGTTTACCGTTCGTTTTCTGTTTGTTCATATGGGTATATATACCTTAGCAACTCTCCTCTAAACCCATTGGCCCACTTCTTTATATTTTCAAAAGTTATGTCTTTCTAGCTACTTGTTGGATATATATATGTAACCGTACAGTTATACAAGAATAGACATGCGCGTCTCTAGATTTAACAAAGAAGATAAGATAAAAAGGTATCCAATAATTCAGCCTCATCCAATGTTTTTTACCCGACATGGACAACGAACTGAACGATCGTCCGAGTTATCCGGCTGTTGGGGTCGACCTAGATCGACCGTAACTCAATAGGTAAAATTGTTTTTTATATAACATAATACTCTCTATAATTCATTTTGTGTGAAGTTTAAGATTTTTATAAACAGATTAAGAAATCACAAAAATCTCATTTAATCTACTTTTTAACTATAGAATCATTAACTATAACTAATTCAACCAATAATTAACTATATTGTAAAATAGAAATGATAAAAAATATGAAATCAATACAATAAAACCCCTTGAAACTCTCCAGAGCTTGACACATCAGATTTTTTAAGTTTTCTAAAGCTGACACCTCAGTTAAAATTAAAGACCAATGAAAACATTCTAAATAATACAGCTCATGTTTGTCTTCCAATTATATCACTCTATTTTTCCACCTCATTTTTTTTCAAGATTAGGTCCATCTAAAGTAAAAGCCCATTTAATAACCCACTTAGTTGACTAAAAAAACTAAAAACCATTTTTCCACCCTTTAATCTTTCCAGCCCAATTCTCTTTGCAGCCCAATTTTTTCACAGCTCCAGCTCCAGCTCCAATCTCCTCTTCAATCAATTAATCGATTGGGAAACCTAAAGACAAAGCTATCAGATATGGCTATACTTCTGTCCCAAATCAACCCAATTATAGTTATGATTCGGATACACGATCATCGGGTTGGCGAGTTCCTGCTTTCTCTTCGCGGAATGCTTGGTCCAGGAGTTATTCAGTAAGTCAACTTTTCTTCTTGTCGCAGATGCTCCTAGAGGAATAGTTTAGCCTCCTTATCGGTTCGATGTTTTGGTATTCTCTTTCAGATAGTTAACAGACGCTTGCTCGATGATCCTCCAGCCCCTTACTCAAGTACAGCGATTTCATCAACCGTGTACTTAAATCATCATCCTCTGATTATTCCTACTTTTAATTTTAGTAACATCAAATGTGCAGCTTTCGGCTTTGTTGAAGGAATGTATTTCTTTACAAATTCTCAATGCTTGTACTTTTAGGTGGTGTCACGATATTGGCCGTCAACAAGCTGCTAATAAACCTCTCTTGAAAACTGTCTTTCAGGTAAATTTTATGATGCTTGCAAAGTTAAAAACTCTTTATGAGTATCACAAAAATATTTGTTTACCTTTAAGTTTGAAACTTTGGAGTTGTGTTTGGCAGGTTATGATGCGATTGTTTAGTCCACGTAAAACAACAATATTGTTTGTAATACGAGATAAAACCCGGGTAGACTCTCTTCTTTTTTCTTTATCATTCTTTTTACATTGCAAATATGCAACAGCTAACTGGTACATACATTGTCTATTGATGATTCTTGCTGCAGACGCCTTTGGAAAATTTTGAGCCTGTGTTAAGAGAATATATTCAAAAGGTATAAGAGAAGTGACTTTCTGCTAATTCCAAGTTGATATTCAAAGCTGAACACTGGTATTGATTTGAGGAATTAATTTGGTTTCAACATCGAAGTTATGGTCTCCATTGATATATGCTTTCCTTACGGTTTGTTAAATTGTGATGGCAGTGGGAAAATTTAGATGCACTTTATAATGAATACAATTGGTATTTCAAAAATCTCCAAGTAAGTTGTTTGTTTATGTTTCTACATTCTCCATTTGTTTGTTGTCTATTGTTGAGTCTACAGGTTTTTTGGTGTTTACGAGAGATTCTTGTGTTTATGTTTCAGGAAGCATTGGAGGAAGGAGGAGTGCTCTATGGGAAGACAGTATTTGTTTTTGGCTCTGCAGAACGTAAGATGTTTCTCTTGTTTGTTTTGTACTGTCTCTTTTATCTTTTGGCTTGTTTGAATCATCTTTGACACTTAATATGGTTATTTCTGATAGAAAAGAACCAGTTGAAAAGAAATAGAAAACACATGTTCTCCTCGATTAGGCTCAAGAAATTGTCCCTTAAAGAAACCATATTCTCGGAAGATTACATTGTGCATTCTCAAACTGAACCAAAACTAAGTAAAATTGGCGAAGGGAAAATTGTATTCTTAACTACTTTATTTTTCACCAAGACCGTAAACGATGAATTCAGCTGTGATGTAAGAAACACACTACTAATCTAAAACCAAACATAGGATTTAATCCAAAACTCAACACTACATACCAAAGCCATGAAGGCACCAGCTTTTACAGGAGATATTTCTCAACAACTGTCCGGCCAAACTTCTCTTGAACATCCTTTGGGGTTTCAACCTGACAAAGAGGAAATGAGATTGGTTCAGATCATAAGGTTTTAACTACAATCCCCTTTTATTGAATTTTTGTCACCACTCACTGCATTCAAGGCCTTCACAACTGCCTTAACGGTGTTGTATGAATTCCTTAAACCAATCACCTGCGGAATGTGGACCACAACCATACTTAAACTCCAGGAAAAAAAAACAAGAGTCGATATTATATCAGGATGAAGCAAAAATGCACCTTCGATTTGATGTTCTTGAACACTGCTAGGAGCAAGATTGTTTTCACAACTCTCCCAACTTTCATTCACGTCGTTGTTGGTACCAGGGTTAAGCCAAGATCATTTTCATTAAATAGAAAAAAAAGACTTAAACTTCAGCTACAGATATCAAAAACAATAACAATCCTTCAAACACCAAACAAAAAAGATCAAAACTTTATTACATAAACAAAAACAAGAAACTAACACACCATGCCTAACTACAATCAGAACAATCATCTAATGCAAAATTAACCAAAAAAAGAAACAAAACTCTAACCTTTAGAACATTAAGATTGGGAGAAAAAGCTTCAATGAGGACTATGCAAACAGCAGGAAACAAAAGACGAAGACTTTGCTAATTTTTCAGAGAATCCAAAACCAAAAAACTCCCTGCAATATAAACGAAAAAATCAATAATCGGAGATTAAAATCACCGATTATGGTGATGACTAAAAGAAATAATTACCTGGTTTTAGAGATTTAATCATGGAGAAAGAGAGATAGAGATCCCAAGCAGAGAAGAAAGAGGCGGTGAGAGAGACAGAAGAGAGAGACGTCGGTTTTTAGATTCCGAGTTTCAATAAAGGCAAGGGTGAATTACTCAATCTTTAAGATTGATGTTTGTTTCGTAAACCATTGATGTGGACCCTGTTATGTGGGCTGTCTTTTTAGTGTTGTATTTGGGCTTCCTTTGTTGTAAACTTGTAACAGTTTGCTTAATAAACTACAGTTAACGAGAAAAAAAAAAACACCTACAATGGGATAACAAACTTCACTCAAAGCCCAAAAAAACCCAGACGTCAAAGACCTTTAATTGATGACAACTTCTTTCATTTTGGGAAAACCCACTAAGAATTGAATTATATATTCACATCAAAGAAACATCACATTTCGTTATATGTTTTTTTTGTCATCTCAAGAATCTTTGTTAGACATGCGATTAGTTCTTGAATCAAAATCAGAGATTTTTTATAAAAAAATGATGCTTATATATTTATTTATATATTTATATAGAGACTACATTTTGTTTTGAATAATTATTGAAAATAATTAATATTATACAATGGTTTTTATGAAACAAAGTTATAAAATTCATATTGAAATGTAAATTCAGCTAATATTCAAAGCTTAACAAGCATAAATTCAAAAAAATACCCCGCGGCGAAGCGCGGGTTTCGCCCTAGTATATTTAATTTTACATAGAAATTTGAACTCCACTTAAAATGAAACAAGATATTTTTTTTAAAACACCACTTAAAATGATACGGATGGAGTATGTTTATAAGTAAGAAATTTCAATACATATTTTATGATTTCTAACAAGAATTATTTTATAATTGAACATTCTATATTCAAATTAAACAAAAAGAAAAAAAAAACACTAAAGATAAATTGCCAATGACAAAATAATATTAGTTATTTCTACTATCACGTTGCTTATTTTCTTCATACTAGTGTAGTTTCCATCAAAATCTAAAGAATCACATATAATATGTTGTAATCAGTATGTTACAACTACAATTAAAGAGCAGAAAGTTAATCATCATTTTCGAACACAATCGCTTCAACCAGTAATACCGGATCACATATATGTCAATGCGATATTTGTTGGGAGTTTCCTTTCTTTAAAACTTTTGTTGGATTTATAATTAGTAAATATTACTATTGGATCCAAACATGTTTAGTGACCGAGTCATATATGAGACTTGCAACGTCCTCGCAAAAATTGCGAAGGAAATTGGACTTCGCAAATTTACGTCGCAATTTGCTTGTTTTCTTGTAGTATATATATATATATATATAGGGGCGGACCCACGTTGGAGTTGGGTGGAGCATGTGCCCCATACTAAATCCTATAAATATTGTATAAGCTATATATGTACAATGAAATTTAGGTAGCCTAAATGGTTTTACAGCTAAGGGTGCCTCATATCAATCTAGGTTCGATTCCCAAAATTGTAATTTGGGTAGATTTTTTTTTATAATCATAGTATAGTTTAGCTAATTAAATTTTAACTAGTATTTTATAAATAAAGTGCCCCATATAGAATTTGGGCCTGGATCCGCCACTGTATATATATAGAGGGTTATCGGGTCTGACCACAGGCAGGTCCCGGTCGGGTCTTATAACATTGCTTTGCTCCTGAAACATGTTCGACGATTTCAAATGTATATCACGAGTAACATGCAAGAAGAGATCAAACAAAGACTTAATAGAAAAAATGGTATTTGATACCTTCTTAAGCATTAAAATCATCATCATCTTGCCCCTCCTTAATGAGATCTTGCCAACTTTCTGGTATATTTGATGGGCTTCCTCCGGTTTTCAAAGTAGATATCGGTTACATCTGTGTTATGACGACTAAACAGGGTTCACTAAATTTTTGGACTACTTCCTTTAATAGCAAGTGTTCGATCTTTTCAATTCCCTGGATTGATATATGTGGGACGGCTAGTTTTAGTGGTATGTTTTTCTATCCAAATTGAATTCATCATCATTTGCTTATGGTAACTAAAGCGGAAAGTAATCCATGTGGTCACCAAAATCACCGTTACTTCTCTTGGAGGATATTTTCGATGTTTCTTCTAAAGGAACCTTATATAAAAATGTTTGGTCTATATAATCTAAGTATCTAACCCAAGCCTTCTTTTCTCATCTTTTTCCTACTTAATCTCGGTATTTAATTTTATTTGAGAATAAAAGACACAAGCCTATTGTAGTATACTAGTATTAACAAGTCCAATGTAATGTCAATTAGCCCATGTGTTTTATGGTTCCAAACAAGTAATTCCCTAGAAATGTCTATGTAATACGAACTTTGATTGTAACCTTGAGAGTTGTCTCAAAACAACTCTCTTTCTTCATCTTTATAAATGTATAAATTGAATCATTGTGTTCTTGGTGACAACCAAATAATATTTCCTTTTTTAGTTTCTTTGCATAATAAAGCTCATCACCTGTTCTCGTCAGTTGGATCTTTATGTCCTCCAGACCATTCATAAGCAATTGTTGTCCATTTATTGCCGTAACATGGCCGCGTTACTCATGTTACCTAGCTTTTGGGGAAGTACAAAGAACAAAAAAAAAAAAACTAAGTTACACAACGCTTCGTCGAAATCCAATTAGGAATGACAATTTAACTCAAAAAGAATTTAATATTAAATCAAAATTAAAATCCGTAATAAATAGAACTAAAAGCTAGGTTTAATTTCTAATTTCATTATTACGCTTCCACCAATATTCAGCCAATTCGAAATTGGAATTTCCCATGTGAATGGGACTGATCTCTAATTAAAAAGACGAACGGAATTAGAACAAACATGTCTATTCAACTTTCGGTATGGTGGTGGTAGAAAAGAGAATAAGATTCATATGATCATACCATGAAATTACGAATGATATCCAAAGGGAATCATATCAAGGACTAACTCTCTAATGAACACTAGAATATAGTACTACAGGAATTCTATATATATAGAGAAACACCCTGAAAGATTTTAATCACTTATCCATATCAAAGAAAACTAAACAAGAAAATACATACAAAGAAAAATGCTTGATAAGCTTTTCGGAGGAGTTGCCGGAGGAGTTGCCGGAGGTATTATTGGAACGGTCGATGGGTTCGCTAGAGGGGCCGGATTATGCCCCAATAATAACCAGAGCAACGGTCGCCGCTTCGAGAATCACAATAAGCCGCGTCCCGTCAACCATGGCAATGGTAACGGCGGTTCAGCAGTGGTGAAGCCTTCGGGGAACTGCGGCGGCCGCCGCCAGAAAGACAGGGAGTAAAGGACTCCAGACCGCACCCAGTAATGATGATGTATCCTAAATAATAAATGTATCCCAAATAATAAATGTATGCGTGTGATAAACATGTACTAAAACCAAATAGGGGACTTTTAATAAAAAGTGTTCTTGTTTGATTACCTTATGATTACTGTTGTGTTTATGTTTAATATAATTGATGCATATTATTAGCTGATCTTATCAGGGCACTTTTAATAAAAAAAGTGTTCTTGTTTGAATTGATTACACACGTGAAAAGATTGATTGCACGAAATTAATTGCACAAAATGAAGTTTAAAAAGTTATGTTATATATCGATCGTGTAACGAAAAACCCTAATGAATTACACTAAAAAAAGAAAAAAAAAAACCTAATGAATTATAAGTCAAGTGGTTCAGTAGGGACAGTCGTTTCTGCGTGTATTACCAAGAATTACAAAACAATGTTCGTTTTAACATTTCTGTTCATCGAAACAATTAGAAAAATGATTTTTGCAATTATCGACTAAAAATTTTCAAAACGGTAAAGAAATTAACATATGTAATTAGGCTCCGTTAATTCTCCGAAAACTCATTACCCATGCCTCAGTTTTCCATATTTGGAAACAACGGAACAACTTTTTGCACAATATGCTCTCCATCTCACCGTAAACAATTTTCAGAAGCATAGACCACGACATCAAGAACACCATCACCTCAAGAAGAAGTAGACGTCCATTCAAAAAGATGATGGCGTTATGGCTGCGGTGATCTCCCAAGAAGTCTCCATGACTTTATTGTCTCCCTTGTTTTTAAACTTTTTTTGCCAAGGATTCAGTTGTATAGGTTAACAATCTTTTGTAAAACATGTTTGTTCATTTCTAATGATATTTACATGCGTAGCAAAAAAAATATAACATTTGTGAAAAAACTTTTACCAAACGTTGTATTGTGTAGCTGAAATCGTCTCAGATTTATATGCAGCCAGAGATGCATGATTAGCTTGTATGATTTCACTGCTTCATCTTTCAGATGATCAAAGAAAGCAATAACATTGTTTTCTTTTACTTTTGTTAAGTTTCATGGGCATCCAACTCAAAACCAACTGGCAATGAGTGGAGAGACCCATGTCCCTTATATATATACTATTCAAGTCCATTCCATCTTTCCAATGTGAGATCTTTCTCCACACACCATCTCGAGAGAATGGATCTTCTAACCACTAATCTTAACAGAATCCATCACTTTTCCTCGAAATAATGATTTTCTAGCTATTTCGAGAGAATTGAACTTTCCTTTGGGCCATCAATTAGTGGGAGTGATCGGCCTACTTTCTGGGCCGGATTAACGGGTTAGCGTGTGTTTGGGTTCTGATACCATGTTAAGTTTCATGGGCTTCTAACTCAAAACCAATTAACAATGAATGGAGAGGTTCATGTCTCTTATATACTACTCAAGCCCTTTCTATCTTTTCAATGTGGAATCTTTCTCCACGACCTCAAAAAAATCTGTTTAATTTAAAACAAATTTTACACTGTCATGAATGGTTTTTTTTTTCCAATAATGGGATCATGAATGGGTTGTTGAAAAACATAATCACATAATCGGGGCCAGGTCTTCATAGACCAAAGTGTAAACTAATTCCTGAGCCGAGTATTAATATGAGTTTTATTGCCACTTAAAGCGTTGACGAGTGCTATAAGCGGGATAGTTCCACGTTTAAGGAATTTATTTTCATGGCCTAGACCAACAATGCAAATCCGTGGAATTTCTTTTCATGACCTAGACCAACAATGCAAATCCGTGAAACAACAAGTCCACTATATCACTTGGTTAAGAGAGAGAGACTCTTCAAACTTTGCAAGAATTAGATGCAATTTCCATCGTAACGACCAACGTTGTGTTGGCCCAGTGGTAAATCTCCCAGGTAGAGGTACTGGGTTCGACGCCCGTTGGGAGAGATCTCTTCTCCAAAGGAGATGAATTTAACCTGGTGTAGGTCCCGCTTCTGGGAGATGTAGAGCCTTCGGGCTTGAACTTCCAGATATTCAAAAAAAAAAAAAAAAAATTCCATCGTAACGATTGAAGAGACCATTCCACGAAGGAGATGGGCCTTACATTGAACTTATCCACACATATATATTTTCCTATGTTCGTTACTAATATTGCTGTCAAAACATGCCTTTTGATCTATTATTAAAGGCATCTAGCTAGTTCGATCGAATAACCAACATGATCTCTCGTTTATGATTATATGTTTGTTCACGGGCATATATACATTAGCAATTATCCTCTAAATTGGCCCACCACCTTATATTTTCTGTGTTAAAAGTTAATTTTTTCCCTACTTGTTGAATATTGAACCATAAAGTTCTACAAGGATTTGTGGAAGCCCCATTGGTTTTTACATGGGCTTCTATATTGGTCAACTTGACAACTTCTCTTCCAATAACCGTTCTCTGGTGTGGTAGACTTTCTTTAGGGCAAAATGATGTTGGGGGAAACTTTTTTTGGAACTAAACCTTACTTGACACATACGACATATCTATTTTTGACGGTTTGTATGGGTCTGGTTTCTTAAAGAGATCGTGTGTTGATTAACAAGATGACAAAGTTGAATAGATTGGAATTTCCCATGTGAATGGGCCTGATCTTTGATTAACAAGATGAACTGAATTAGAACAAACATGTCTATTCAACTTTCGGTATGGTGGTGGTAGGAAAAAGAATAAGATTCATATCATACCAAAGGGAATCTTATCCAACAGTAATTTAAATGAACACTAGATCATATACACTACAAGAATTGTATGTATATATAAACATCTCAAAGATTTAAATCACTTATCCATATCAAAGAAACTTAACACAAGTAGATATATATAAAGAAAAATGTTTGATAAGCTTATCACAGGGGTTGCCGGAGGGATTACCGGAGGGATTATTGGAACGGTCGATGGGTTTGCCAAAGGGGTCGGAGTATGGCCCAATAATTACCAGAGTACCGGTCGTGTCTTCGAGGAGCACAATAAGACGCGTCCGGCCAACCATGGCAATGGTAACGGAGGTACGGTGAAGCCTTGCGAGAACTCTGGCGGCCGCCGCCAGAAAGACAGGGAGTAAAGGACTCTGGACCGCACCCAGTAATGACTATATATCCCAAATAAGATGTATCCCAAATAATAAATGTATAAGATATATGTGTGTTATGGACATGTTTCAATATCGTACGTACCAAAACCAAATAGGGGACTTTTAATAAAAAGTGTTCTTGTTTGAGACCTTATCACTACTATGGAGTGTTGTTGTTGGTACTTATATCGTTTAAATGTTTCTGGTTCATCCAAATAATTAGACAAATGATTTTTGCATTTATCGACCTAAAATTTAAAACGTTAAGGTAATTAACATTTAAAAAAACTTTAATCAAACGTTGTATTAACCGTTGCTGAAGTGTGGGGATAGTGTATAGAGTATGGCGGAATGGATGTTCTAAAGCTTGAGAGCAACATTGTTGTGCCGGAGATTAAATTTCCCTCGCTATCTCTGTGAAAATATGAGAAGAGGATTTCGTTTGTAGATTAATTCTTTTATATAGCTTGTTTAAGCCATTGCTTGAATTTCGTAGATTTGGTGTAAGCAAGTAACTGATTTACTTATTTTGACGGATCTTAGGCTTGTGTTTTGATTCGATTAGCCTTGTTAATTAGGCAATTCTTGGGGAAAATGAAATAGATGAATTAAGATAGTGGGAAATAGGAGGAAATCATACATGCTAGAAGAATTAAACGAACAAAGAAAGCAATTACATTGTTTTCTTTTACCTAAACAAATCAAACGAACCTACGTGATGTTTTTTTTTCTTCCGATTATTGGAGTCTTCCTAAACCAAAGTGTAGACTAATTCTTGAACCTAGTAGAAATATGAGTTTTTATTTTTGTTTTTGCAATTTAGAGCGTTGACAGTAGCTAAGCGGGATATAATTAGATAATTACACGTTTAAAAGGATTTATTTTCAAGCCTAGACCAACAACGTGAATCTTCGACAAGGCGAAGTCCACTACCACTTGGAGAGTCTTCAAAATTTGCAAGCATTAGATTCAATTTCCATCGTAGCGATTGAAGAGACCATTTGAGTGACAAGTAAGATGGGTCGGAGCCACTTGCGTGATACACCGGCCCGTGAGGTACCTACTTTAGCTCTTGTTTTTACCAGCTAGCCAACATGAGAAATATGAGAATGAAAAAGGTTATTTGTGGAGTCCATATTTGTTCGCCTTATGTTTTCAAATTTTCGAGGATAAAAATTAAGTTGGATTAGCCTAACTATATGTTCCATTCACATGCGAACGAGATAGATTACCATGCATGAATAAAAAATGTAAGTATGAATAAATATAAATGGTAAGTGCCTTTGTCTCCTTAGAGATACCCTTCATGAACCTCTAAAGATAATAGTGAGTTACATGTCCTGACTCATGATGAAAGATTGGACAATCGTTAGTGTAAGGTGAGTTTCGACATCTAATGTCTATCTGACCATTCATAATAAAGTGGTCTATACCCACGTCACCTAGCGTTTGGGGAGTACAAGTAGAAAGTGACTTTATCCATAGGATTAATGAGACCTAAACACGTTTAGTTTCAGGTCCAAAGAACAAAAAAAAACTAATTAAGTTACACCAACACTTATTTTTGACCTTCTTCACGCAAAAGCAAACCTATCGCCTTCTGTTCTCTTCCAAGACACTCTATATACGCTGGATATATAATATCTCCTTTCAGGAACAACACCATCTCTCTCATAATGCAACTCGCCTTCAAGCTTCAGTTTATTCCTTATGGCGACAGAAAGGAATGAATTCAAGGTATACAAATAAAATAACAACAGTAGGGTACTCAGTCTCGGCCCTTCAGTGAAAGCTTTCTAGTGTTTGTGTATCGGTAGCTTTTACAATTTGCTTTCGCTCTTCGTCTAGAGCATCAAATTTGGGAAGAACAACAAAATCGTCATCACTTCATCTAACTCCAATAGTTTTGTGTTTCTGTTGAGTGGATGGACTGAAATTTTGTTTACGAATTCTACAGCCAAAAATCTAAAGTCACAGCCGAAACCAATCAGGTCCATTATTTATCAAAAAATCAAAACTATGAAGATCTACTCTTCAAAAACATACCATATATATATATATATATATATATATAAATGATCAAAACTACAAAGATCTAGTACATATTTCCTTGATATTGTCTTTTGGATTTATATTAATATTATCTTATGGGTTAGCTAGTATTATTTTATCGAATATTTTTATCTGCTACTTTATCATATGTCCATTTTTCCGCATTTATTGCATATTTTGATGGGTTTATTTTGTTTTCCACTTTCTTTCCATCTACTTTACGAATTTTTGTGAGTTGAATTTTCCAAATTAATGCCAATTCGGAATTGGAATTTCTCATGTGAATGAGACTGATCTTAAATTAAAAAGACGAACGGAATTAGAACAAACATGTCTATTCAATTTTAGGTCTGGTGGTGGTAGAAAAAAGAATAAGATTCAGATCATATCATGGAATTTAAATGAACACTCGACTCTACACTCGAGAATTGTATAAATATGTAACATCTGAAAGATTTTAATCACTTATCCATATCAAAGAAAAATAACAGAAGTAACATATATATTAGACAAAATGTTTGACAAGCTTATTGGAGGTATTGTCGGAGGGATTGCCGGAGCGATTATCGGAACTGTGGATGGGTTCGCCAGAGGGGTCGGAATATGCCCCGAAACTTACCAGAGCTGCAACCGTCACGACTGCGAGGAGCACAAAAAGAAGCCCCTGGCCAACCATGGCAATGGAAACAGTGGTGGCCGCCGCCAGAAAGACAGGGCCTAAAAGACTCTAGACTTCACTCAAATATTCTGCCGGTTCAAATAAGAGAGTAACCATAATGTATCCCAAATAATAAATGTGTGTAAGATGTATTTGTGTGATGGACTTTTAATTACAAAAATGTTCTTGTTTGATGATGTTATGATTACTGTTGCTACGTACTTATGTTTAATATCAGTTGATTTCTCCACGTGAAAAGATTGATCGCGCAAAATTAAGTTTAAAAGTAACGTTGTGAATTTATAAGTAGTGTGCAGTGGTGCAGCACAAGTAAAAAAAAGATTTGTCATCAAATTATTTATCGAGATTTAATGTCAGATTTGTATACAGAGATGCATTATTTCTCTACCATGTTGATTTCGTGCCTCATCTTTTAGATAATCAAAGAACGCAATTACATCATCTTCTTTTATCTCAATTGTTTTTTTTTTTTTAAACGAACTTTAGATCTAGCAAGTAAAGAACAATCAAAGCAAAATCGAAAAAGAGTTTAGAAACAATGAAGCAGAAAAATTCGATCTTAACTTCATCCTCAGATTAATTCACATTACCGCACACGGAAACACACCTCAAAGACAAGACTTTAACTCTTTTTAGATTTAACACCGAGTTTTAATAAAACGTTCCACCAATCTTAAGGCTAAGCATATTTTGGGTATGCATAACTTTCTTTCCGCTAGATTGGATATCATTTAAGGATCTAAATGGTTTTTAGCCACAACACAAACAAAACAAGTGAAACCAATCTCTAAATTTATTAAATCGGATTCTTAAAATTCTTGATAAGAAAAGAACACAATTTTCTTGAAGATATCGAAAACGTTTGACCAGTACTAATAATTTTTGCCAACATAAAGATGGTCATACAAAGATACACATAGTTATTATCATTAAGAACTTAGAAGAAGGAAGAAAACATACTACAAAATTTTCATATATTGGCAAACACATGAAACCATTATAACATTGATGTGTTTGCTAACTATAAATAAGTTTTTGTTGTTGTCAAATTAGTGTCTTTTTTTTTTTTGAAATAATTTGATTTTTCTTTTACTTATATGTCTCTGGTTGATATATGGTTTCAGAAAAGGAAAAGAGAGTTGATAGGAGGGAGAACCTATCGACCAAAGCAGAAGCTCACAAGGTGTTGATAAATTAAGAAGCAAGGCAATATTTGTCCTCCTCTCTGTAGGGGAAGTATCAACAAATATGCTTAAGTTCACAACTACTAAAGTAGCTGATGCAGTGCTGGGCAATCAATCTTTTGTTGCTTTTGTATATGAAATATCTTTGACGTTTCATCTTTGTTCTGTTAAACTCTGTTTTGGTTTTCAAATGATTTGCAGTTTTATACCCCAATTGAAGTTTTAAGATCTATTCGTCCTAATGCACACTTCAATCACTTCCTGTCAGGTAGAAGAATTCATAGGGTTGGTTGTACAGCTCAGTATCTCCAATGAAGCTAAAGTTTTAAACTTAGATCATAGCTAGTGTGTTGGAACAATGGCTTTTTGCCTTCTTTGGCAGGAGTAAGCCATTTGTTTTTGCTAAAAAGAAGTAAGCCATGTTGAGATCCAGTTACCAACGCAAAACCACAAATCGACGTACTACCAATTGATTAAAAGGCTCTTCAAACTTTGCAAGCATTAGATGAAATTTCTATCATAACGATTGAAGAGACCATTCCACAACGGAGATAAGCCCTACATGAACTTATCCACACATATTTTCCTACTAAAGTTGCGGTCAAAACAAGCCATATTTGATCCATTATTGTTAAAGGTATCTAGTTCTATCGAATAACCAACAGTAACTGTCCATTAATACCGTTTTCTGTTTGTTCATATGGGCATATATACCTTAGCCAACTATCCTCTAAAATCCATTGGCCCACGCATCTTCAAATTTTCCATATTCCTTCTTGTTCAATGGTCCATAACGGTATATATACAACAATAGACATGTGCGTCTATATATTTAATGGTCCAAGGAACATGGGCCAAAAGTTGAATAATCTAAAGGAAGAAAAGGTATCGGATTCAGCTTAATCCTTAAAGACTTTCAATAGAAACAATGGTAACAAGAAGAGAGCAAACAAGACTTTCAATAGAAACAATGGTACTCGAGACCTTCCTTCAGCATAAAACTCACAATCATCATCACAGGAACTTGATGGCTAAGAAACCGAGTCATCAAGTTATGGAGTACGAAGACTTGAGTCATGACGTGATGAAGACGTCATCATATCATATGAGGAAGGTGAAGAGTGAGAGGAAGGCAAAAGAAGAGGATGTTGACAAAGAAGCAGAGAATTTCATCAATCTAAAGCATAGGAAATTTAATAATTGTATGATCTAAGTTTCTTCTTGAAAAAAAAAAAAAGTTTCTTCTTGAAAACTAATAAGTGTTCACTTAAGAGCATAGAGATTCTGTAATATATGTGATTGTGTTGTAATTGTCACATCTACTTTCATCTACTTTTGAGATTGTGGTTTGATATGCAATTATTTGACATGGAAGTTTGTTTTGCAAAAAAAATTCACATGGAAGATTTTTTTTATATACAAAACCCTTATGTTTTTAAACGGAGTTATCGAATATCACGTCATTGCTACAGAGGAGAGCAGTATTGCTATTGATTTTTGAAATTGTGGGATTGACTTGCGTAATTCGGACTTGGAAGGTAAACTTGCAAAAAAAAATTGATTTAGAAGGTTGTTTTGTAGAAAACCATTTTAGAAAAGACTTCCAAAACCCACAAAGTGGACACAACAGAATACGAGTTTCCCAAAATAGAAACTAGAAAACATTAAAAAATAATGGTGAAAAGCCATAAAAGGAAAGTAGAGTATGATCCATAACTAAAGGATGGATCTGCAGAGAGGACAATTTGTGTGGTTATTACTAAACCAATTATCCAAACAAGCTGTGTGAAAGTAATGCTTGCAGGAAACTAACTCACTCACCTCTTCCTCCTCTTTAAACCCACACAGACACACACAACACTCCATAGCTTCTCTCTCGTGCTTGCTTCCTCTGTTCTCAGCAGATTCAAAGTGTGTTACAGAGATTCTTCTTCTTCTTTTTGAATCCTCATGATCTTGGTCGTCTTTATATACACAAGTGCTTTATACTGGATCAAAACATTCATCTTTTTTGTTTATTCGATGGAAAATGGTGATGATTTTGTAGTGATGGGTAATATCTACTACATTAACATATACAGAACTCTATATGTAAATGCAAGATATATCGCACTAGTAAAACTGAATCTGTCAGCTTGTGGCTACTTAAAGTACTCTCCTATTTTAAATGGTTGTTGCTGTTGAATTTGAGGAGCCTTCTACTTGTAAGGATTTGAAATAATCCTTCTCCGCGTTAGCCATTCTACTCTGGAACATTGTCCATTCCTTTTTGCATCTTTCCCTCACCTGCAAAACCACATAACAAAACAAATTGAAGTCGCTTGTTTCACAAGTTAGACATAATAGATATAAAAAGCTTTGTTACCCCTTGCCATGGCGCTTTCCCGTCCGTTGCCTCACCCTACATCAAGCGAAAGAGAATCAGATTTCTGAGCGAAGAAGTTAATGTCAGATCGAGAAGAGAGAGTTTTATGGGGTTTACTTGGTTGCCAAGGGAAGGAAAAGATTGATGAACAACCCACTGAGCATCTACGACTCCTATCTTCTCATGTGCAGGCTGCATTTCAGTGAAAAATATGCGCAGTTTCGTCATTATAACAAACGATATATTTAAAGCCAAGCAACCTGTCTTTTGCGTAACAAAAAACGAACTGCAAGTGTCTCTTTTCTTACCTCAACACATCTTCTGAGTGCAAAATCAAGTCCCCAACCGTGAACCAAATCATTCTGTTAACAGTTAAGGTAAGGCATATAAGTAAGACTGACAAGCAGAGAGAATTAGGGAAGATGAATAAAGAATGAACAAACAGATGATGAAGTAAAGGAACCTGGATCACGTGCCAAACGCATCGCCAAGCATCTCTTGAAAATACAGGAGCCATGATCTCGACGAATCTGCATTTGCCAATGACACAAAAGCTTAACACTGGTTAGTTCCTGTATAGGGAAAAATTAAATCATAACACGCAGAAAGAAAGGTTTCTACATACGCAGCACACGGAGGGAGATGAGGATCTGAACACCATCCAGGTCTTTCTTCTGTTATCCTGAAAAGATTCAAAGCTTCTTCACCAGCTTTATGTACCTGGGAAAAGATAACCGAGATGATCACAAGAGATGAAAGAAAATGTAAGTAAATTGGAACCCATGTAAAGGTTAACTACTTACTCTTCTGCATCAAAATTCTCCACCCCAAGGTCTTCATCCCAGATGAATATATAATCATATCGTGCTACAATATCAGGGTGCAAAAACCTCTTTGCATACCACCTAACATACACATTTCCAGGTGCCAAGAGAGTCAATAGTCATAAAACATCACCAGAATATTCTCTATGACAAAGAATCAAAAAGAGGTTGATACCATTTTGTCTGCTTTCGCACGCTAATGTGTATAGCAGTCTTCGACCATTCAAACTCATTCCCTGAAAACTGTTGAGAAGATGATAAATCATATATGACGTGATATTAATAAGCAAAATATCAAACAAAGGCAATGAACCAACCTTCTTGACACAAGCATCAATATTTTCTTTCTGATTAATACCCACTGTAAACGTTACAAGGTATCTTGGTTGGCTGGTCAAATCCTGAGGAAGCAAATAAGGTATAAATAATTTACTTTATTTTTGTATATCAAGACTATAACACAGTTAAAAGAATGGTTTTGATGATAAAGTTTATAGTTTGAGCACACACCTCATGCGGTAACCCCCATAATCTGCGCAAATAAAAGTCTGATTCAGCAGCAACAATACCCGGTGGCAACATTTCAGCACCACGAGGATTTGAAGGAACCCATATCTGCAGCAAAATCAGAAATGAAACATGAAAACATGGACAGATCCGATACCATTTATCATGAAAACACAAGAAGAAAAGGGCATGTTTTTTGCATATATAGCTTCCTTCATGTTTGGCCAGTTAAAATGTAAATGACTACACTATGTAAAACCACCAAGAAATTATCTGTTGATTTTGTAATCTCAAATAATCCATTAATAAGCGTGCCTTTGATTTGTCGATTGGACCAGATGAGCTGCTATCGTTACCCTTTGATGATGACCAAGCTTTATGACTTTCTGGAGTAGCAATTGTCGAACCCTTTTAATTCCTCTATATATGAGAGATCGGTTTGGTTTATATATTGTATTAAAGTACATAATCACATATATTATATATTGTAAAATAAATATTATTTGATATATATCATTAAAAATTTTATTCTAAAGGTTTAAAATACCTAAGGAGGGGTTATTGGTTCATGGATTTATAAGGAATTAGAAATCCAAACAAAAATCATTTGTTATTCAATCATTGATTTTAAAATCTTAATTAAAATCATGTGTTATTGGTTCTATCATTTATAAATACTAGTTAAATTCCTATGTTATTCGTTTAGTCATTTGTTTTTGGATTTGAGAATCCAAATTATGTTTTAAATGGATTTGAATGGAATTGAAAGAGGAAAATAGAAGGATTCAAATTCATGGGTAAACACATGTTATTTCAAAATCCATATATCTTGATTTCATAATTAATAGAAAATTTCAAATTCTATATGGATTTACAAATTAATAAACCAATTTGTCTTTGATATTAACCGTATCGTAATAATTAAATAACTGTAACCGTATTTAACCGTAACCGTTGTAACTGTAACCGTATTTAACCGTAACCGTTTTAACCGTATATATAACGGTTAAGGTTACGGTTAGAGAAATTTTATAACCGTAACCGGAGGTTAATAAACCGTAACCGCAAGAACCGTAACCGTGGTCATGCCTAACGGTTTGGTTTTCTTTTCGTCGAGTTTCAAACTTTATTTTTTTTGTGACGGCGATGTATGGGCCAGATTCAGATATGGCCGTCGCAAAGAAAAAGTGTCGGGCGATTAAAATAATAATATGGGCCAGATTCAGGGTAGATATAGGCCCAAATCAGTTGTTTATATATATACACACTAGGGTTCCCGGCGTCGCGCAGCTTAGATTCATGGGTAGAAAGCGGCATCCTCGCCCTGGGCGATGTACTCCCAAAAGCAATCGTCGACCTTGCCCAAAAAAATGTAAATCGTGTTTACAGAGGCCTCCTCGAAGACCAGAGCTAAACACTGGTTATTGTAACCCTTGTTACCGCAAACTTGGTCTGCGTGCGGTAAACTCTAAGAATATTCGCCTTCGGAATCGTTCTGACTCTAATAAAATTGATATTCAGGTTCTTTTCATATACATAATAATTTTCAATTTGATTGATTTTAATTGGCATCTAAGCTTTTATAATTTGATTCTTAATTACAACAGGAAAAGTTGTCTTCTGATATTGTTACAACTACCACCACACCTCAATTGCCATCAAGGTATGTTGATTCTCTCTCTCTCTTTCTCTAGTGTGTGTGTATATATATTGTGAAGATGATAGCTTGAAGCACAAGCCAATATTAAGTGTAAAACTCACAACCGTTGAAGACTAACCAAAGGTGATATAAATCAAACCTTGGTTGAGTTACTTTTGGAACAAAGTCATGGGAAAACGGCTATGAAGGAAATTGCTTGGAAGTAGCCTCATTTCAGCCATAAGGACATTTTGTCTGTTTGTGTTCAAAGAGAGTTGTGGTTTGCTCTAACTCAAGGAAGCCCTAGTTAGCTTTGTCTATATATAGGTGCTTATGTTCATTGAGAGAGGCCAAGGAAGTGAGAGAGAGAGAGCAATAGCTCAATGTAGATCTAAGAAGAAGAGTTAGTAAGGTGTAGAGATGAGAGAAAACATGTATTCGTATAAGCTTGTCATTGTTGTTCTCTGAGTGATACATGAAGTGGTACAGAGTGAGTCTAAGTACTAGTGAAGGGTATTAGACGGGTCACTTGTAGCTTCTTGTTGTAATCACCTTCTTCTTTATAGTGGAGATGTGGATCGAAAGATCCTAACCGGACGTAGCGGTTCGTTAACACCGTGAACCGGGTGAACAAATGCTTGTGTGCTCCTCTTCTTCCTTCATATTACTCTGTTTTATCTTCCTCTTCTTCTCCATATTTACTTGTTTTATTCCGTGTTCTGGTGTTGATGACAAATGAGATAAAGCTTGAGCCTTTGAGGGTTTACAAAACCTTAACAGATTGGTATCAGAGCCTAGGTTGGCGAAGAAAGGTGAAAGCTTTGTAAGCAAGCTCCAAGCTTTTGTCAAGAAAAATCACACCTTTATCAAGCGACGGCTTCAGGAGGTGCAGCTCTAGAGAAGAACGATGGTTTGGAGATTATATCTCATAGAAGACCGCGTGTCTTGTTCATCTAAGAAGATCTAGATCTGCTAGAAGCGTTGAGAGATGAAGATGGAGGAAGATAGAGATTTCAACAGAAATCTCGGATCTTGGCAGAGGAAGTTTGTCACGAGCTCAAATGATTCTCAAAGAGTTCGGTGACATGGACGACGCGATGATTCTCACCGGAGCAGGCTGAGATTTCGGCGGAGTGGCTCGTGTTTCCGACGACGTCGTGAAAGAGCAGACGGCGCCGTCACGAGCAGAACGAGTCGGAGAAGAAGCCTTGGGTTTTGTTGTCGAGGAAAAGACACATGATGAGAGAGAATCGTGGAGATATGGTGACCATAAAGTCACCGGATTTCGGATGTTGGCCGGAAAACTGTGTTACGGTGGTCACGGGTGAGGAGAAGAAAAGTCAAGGTGCGACAATTTTTTTCCTTTCTACAAGTTGGGCCTAGATTGGCCTTTGTTTCTCATTAGTGAATATTTTAAGTGGGCTAAGATCTCTTAATGCCCAAAAGTCAAAGGAGAAACAAGGCACGTCTCTCTCGTTACTTCTCTTTCGTTGAAGTATCGAGGTTGAAGCTTGAAAGGATAGTCAACTACGACAGATGCGTCGCCAAATTTTTTTAGAGATTTCGGTTGATGGTGCATCAGGTCCTGTGTATGTTGATATCAGAAAGAGGAGCTTCAGTATGTGAAAGAGATGTGAAGATTAGAGCTTTAAGTTAGAGCTGCAAGGGTTGGAGATTTCTTTTTTGGCAAACTCAGAAATTTCGCAAGTTGCAGTGACAGTAAAGGCAGTCACAAGACGGTGTCTTCGGTGTGCAGTTTTAAGCTCAGTAAAAGGAAGCTTCATTAACTGTTGTTTTGAAGCGGAAGCGAGATAGAGTAAAAGCATCGGGTGAAGTTTGATTAAGGTTCTGGAAATGTGTTAGTCGGATTCTTTGACTAAATTCATCGGATCATAATCATTCTTCTTTCTCAAGACTCAAAATTTGGAGGCTTCAAGCCTTGTTCCACTGTTATGGCAAGAGATTGAAAAGATTCAGCTTTGGGTTTTAAGCTGGCCTTTTCTGGATGTTTGAATCAGGTTGGTAATGTCTTTTTCAGTTGGTGTTTGATTGTTGTTGAATTCACAGCCTCGGAAACTGTAAAAATTTTATGGGACTAAGGGACGCCTTAGAAGCTTGAAATTTTATGAGTATTGAGCTGTGGAGTATTTGTAAAAGGGTGTTCTGGATTCAAATTTAAAGACAAGACTTCAGTGGTTGGTTGAGTTTTGAAGAGGATTGGTTGTGTGGTTCTGTCTCAGTGTTAAAGGTTAGATTCCTGTGAATCTAAGGTTCTACAGTTGGTGGATCGTCAGAGAAAGCATCTACCAGGTCATTTCAGCAAAGATGAAACAGGGTTTCTGAGTCAGTAGCTGTTCATGAGGCAGTGTACTGGTACAAAAAAATGTTTCTGTAGAAAGACACTTCTAGTGTAAACCTAGGTGTGAGCTGAAGAGTGTTTGGATTCTTATTCAAGAACATAAACTCTTGAAAGGATGGCAGCGACAAAGATTCATGTTTTGTGCAGATTTGTGTTTGATATAACACATGGTGATTCTGTTGGAATGAATCTAAGAGAGCATAGAGTTCTCATCTCGGGTGGAGCAATATTTTTTCTCAGAGTGTATCTTGTGTTTTGAGTCGGATCTTCAAACGAAAAAGGGAAGTATCTGATGGTATGCAATTGGCTATACTATTTTCTTGTGTCGAAAGTCTTCTTAGCCGAGAGGGTGTTAGGCACCGGGAGGGTGTTTGGCATCAAGGGGTGTTAGGCTGCGTGTTCTGTTCTTTTGAACAGCGGTACAAGGTAAGTATATGGTGGTTTTGCAATTGGAAAGTACAAGATTTGATTTTTGGGATTGAGGTATGGTTTGATGGTGTATCAGCCTAAGTTGTTTCATTATTAGATCATGAAGAAGGCTCTAAATAAAGAGAGGACAAGGCTGCGGGAATGAAAGAATAGTTCTTGGTGGTTCTTCTGGTTAAAGTTGATCAGTTGGAGTGGCTGCAGGAAGAAAGAGGATATGTCACAGGTTTGGACACACTTTCTCAAGCAATAAGCCATGGTTTATATTCTGATACAGAAGAACATGTGAGTTGTTCGAAGCAATAGTGAAGAGTGGCGTAACTCAGAGAAGTGAAGCTGAACTTACAGAGACAGAGTAACATCAAAATGGTTATGGTTCCTGGTGGAGCTATGTTCTTTTATGTTGTCTTGGGTGTTTAGCTCGAAAGGAAAGAGTTAAAGGCTGCAGAATTCACTATTGAACAGGGCTCTTGAAAGTAGCATGTCAAGGACAGGTGGTTATCAACGGGTTTTCAGCTCAAAGAAGGTTAAAATCTGAGGGTAAATTATTCTTATAGATTTGGTTTGGAGCTGATTGTTGGTAAGGTCATTTAGAAGCAAATTGCAGGTTTTCAGAAATGAATCGCAAGTTTCTAGATAAGAGTTGCTGGTTTCTGAAAATTTCAGAGAAAAAAACACTAAGATGTAAACAGAGATGAAGTTAGTGAAGTGGTTCAGTGAATTTGCTAAAGAAGATGGTGAAAGAGACAACTGCAGGTGTTGTAGGAATTGTCTCAAGGCTGTTCACTTAAAGACTATGAAAGTGTTGTGTATCAAGTTTGATAAACAACCCATCTCAAAGCTGGTGTTGCAACTGAAAATAGTATCATAAAGGATGTCTTCTCAGTGATTGTTTTTTGCAGAGTAGTCAACTGTAAGATATGATTTGAGAAGTGTTATGATGCAAGTACCAAGAGTTTTGGTGGAGCATGCACATTGATGAATGTGTTGCAGGGCTATTTACAGCTGGATAATCACATCATGAGCTCAAGAAAAGGATGTGAATGGAGCTGTAAAGTATTGTCTCAGGAGCATCGCAAGTGTGTGATTGTGAGACACGTTTTGAAAACAGCTAGTAGTGGCGCTAAGCTGTTAGTGTGTTGAATCTGCCAGTGCAGTGTAATTGAACGAGAAGGTTCAAGTCTAGTCTGTTTAAACAGGCTGGTGAAACAGGAATCTCAGGAAATGCAGTAGGATTAACTGTTGATGAGATTGTTTACAGAGATGAATCAAGTCTGTTTCAGAGTTTTGAAATAAAAGTGGTTCTAATGTTTTGCATTGATCTAAGGAAAGGACTAAGGTTTTGTACTCACTGCAGGAGTAAGTCTTAGTGACAACGTTGGGGATCAGGTTTGCAAAAGGAGAAGTTTGTTTATTCACTGTAACAGTGTCTATGGTTTTTTAACTGAAATCATAGAGAGAAGCTGTGTGACTAATTGGTTCATAAGTGGTGACTTATGAGGTTCTGTTATGGTAACAGGTTTGACGTTGTTTCAGCTTGTTATTGGTTTGCTGCTGAGTGGTAATCTAAAGCTTTCGGGTTATAAAGATTCAAGAATATCAGTGGCAGTTGAGCCGAAACACATGTTTGTGTTACTGGCTGGTTTCACAACTCGGTTGAGGGGTGGAATGTTGAAGATTCATGAAAATGTTCTGGTCTTTCACAGAGGAAGCTTACACATCTTGATTGTCAAGTCAGAGATGTTTATGAAGGTTACGTGAATGAATCAGTATGCTGAGTGGTTACATCAGAGTTCAAGTGTTGGATGCATCATGAAGTGATCATCGAAGAGTTGAGCTTCATACAAGTTTGTATTGAAGCTGGTTTTCACAGCTCTGGTAAACTAAAGATGTATTCATGGCTCAGGTTCAGATATGTGAACAGTCACATATGAAGGGCATTAAACATAAGTTAAATGCAAGAAGGATCAAGCAAGTTTATGGTGTTTTAAACTGCTAAGTATCAAGGATAAGTGATGATTCTAAGGATCCTAGACGGAATCCAAGAAGTAGAATCAGGTACTCTCTATCTCTCAAACCATATGCTGGTGATTGTTTGTTGCTTATGCTATCAGGTGGAGATTTGTGAAGATG